GGTTTCTTCTTAAATTATCAACATAAGCTAAAATTGGTACGAAAAATATGGTTAAAATGTAGAATATACTTGAAATCGGGTTGTTCCGTTATCAGGGGTTATGACCCATATTATGACCTGCCAAAGCGATTAAAGGTATATTGAATGTTTAGGTAGAATTTCTATTTTGCGTTCTTTATAGTCGGTATTTGACTGATTGCAGTCCCAATGTATTTTGCATTTTGTGTTCTCATTTGACAATTTATTGTCATATGAAAGAATCAGGTCCACTTTTTGAAATTAACCCCATAACGCTTCTTCGGTCATTTTTGTTTGTTTAAATGTGTTCGCATCTTTCAGCTGAAGCACGATGTAGGTCCTGGAGTAGAAAGCATTTAACATCGTATTGCGGCCTCATTTCATTTTTAATATTATTCATTCAGAATTCAAACCAATAAAAAATATACACTTCAATATAGAAAAAAGAAAAAGAATCTTCAACTGGTTCGCTGATTTTTTATCGGTAGAATCGATTCATTTGAAAAATTGTCGATTTTTCCCGATTTTAGAATTTTTATATAAAGCGACAACGAATAAATACATAAAATCTATAAATAACAGTTTTATCCGTTGTGGCTTTATACTACCCAAAAAAAAACCCTACACATCATATTAGAATTCAAAAAAAAAAAAAAACACTACAAATGTACATTCGAAAATAGTAAGTGAAAATGGAAACAATATGCAATATAAAACATTACTATTGTACATTTTAAAAGTCAAAATGAAAATGTTCAAATTTCACATTTTTACGCGATTTTTTTTGGATTTTATTCTTTTCTGCCAAGAGGCAATTCCGAATTTGTGTAAATCGTTAAAATCAGACCTGCGACCTTTCCTTTCTTTTACATATAGAGAGATAGATTTAAAAGTAGGCGCGATCCTCACCCCCTAAATAAGTACTTAGGGTTGGATGGAAAGCCAACAGCATCTCGTGTAATAATTCTCAAACCGATATCTTCAATATTTTGGCAAATATAAAGATTTTAGATAAATCGTAATAGTGGGCGTAAAAGGAGGCGTGGTCAATATTTTTTTCTTTAAAAACCTAACTCGGGGTATGACGAACGTTTGTACAAAAAATTATGCGAATCGGTCCAGCCGTTTTCAACTGATTCCGTTACCAACAAACAACAATTGATTTTTATATATATAGATTAATTCCCAGATCTGGCTCATATAGGTGGCATAATTTTATTATAAATATAATATAAATATATAAATAAATACCCATGGCAAAAATGTAAATACATGCTTACTTACGGGTCGATTTGAAGTGATGATATAGATATAGCACATCAATTAAAAGGTATATATCACCTGTTTGGAATAACCCCATGTTAAATAACCCCATGCTAAATTTTTAGTATTGTACAAAGTTCAGCTACATTTTCCATTCAAATGAGCTGTAATTTGGAACTTGCCATGTTTAGAAGATCGTGCTGAGTGGTATTATAATTGAGAGCAGAATGATTTCAGAATAGCCAAATTAATTACTCCTAAACACCCATTACGATACCACCTCCAATTGTCTCCAAAGGCTATGCTTTTGATTATAGTAAAATTCAATGACGATTAAAAGATGTCACTATAGACCTGGGAGGTATTGTTTTAGGGAGATATACCAACATATGGACCTATTTTGAAATGTTTCTGTAAGATTGTTCTCTTCCCCAAAGAAGCCTTAACAGACATTTTAAGCCAATTTGATTGGAAAATGTGGTCAAAAGTCTCGAAACTGGTAAATTCATAAGGTATGGGCGCTACTCCAAGTCATTGTCCTATATAGAATATTTTCTGCAAATAGGTTTCTATGCCAAATAAGGTCCAAATCAATTAGTTGAGGGCTATACCAAAACGGTGAAAGTATGTTTTCTTCTTTCCAAATATTCAAATAACCATCTCTTGCCAAAATCAATTGTGAAAAATATAAAACAATTTGAATTATTATACCCTCAGCCAATGTTCGATTATTAAAATACATTTTGGCTTGTGTTATGATTATTCAATTTGTTGACCTTCTATGCAGTAGGTTCTGAAGTAATGGGCCAATATTGTTCATTTGTATCAGACCTAAACACATATGATATAAATATTTCGACGTGCCACGTTTGAACTTTATTGGTAACTTCCTTCACTTTATATGAGGTATGTGATAATTTTTAGAAAATGTTAAAACGTGCATGAGGTACCATTTTCATACTTCATGTAATACAGATAAATATATCGGAGTGAAAAAATACAAGTAAATGGAATATTTATATCCACTTTCATGCGAATTCATAAATTCCTTATTCATCTCAGGTTTCTGGTTGAAAGCAATATTTAGAGATAGCAAGTTATAAAGATAAAAGTATTGAAAATTGTGCTCCTTTGTGGGTGAGGTTCGCAGACATATGTCATTTTCACAACAGATCTTTTGTTAAAAAAAATGTTTGTATGTGTAAAAATTTCTAAATATTGAACCCTAATGTCGGGCAGGTACCAGAAATAATCGTCGTGTTTCAGTTTTGTAGTCTGAATGGAATCGGATTTTCATTTCGCGTCTTATGATCTTCATGGATATTAAAAATGTTGACCCTTTGTGGGGGAAGTACCAGAAGGAGTAGACCGATATATACCATCCTCTCACCAGACCTTTGTTTAATAAAAATAATTAATTATAAATAATTCATTGCAATCGAAGAGAACCGGATGCATATTTCACGAGCCGAATGCTTGGAATGAGCCGAGTAATCGGATGCTTATTTCGCATTTCATGTGCTTAATGATTATTCCAAACTTAGGAGTGTGGGAGGTACTAGAAGGAGTGATTCGTTCAATCAGTTCTTCATACCAGATCTTGTTTTAGCAGAAATATTGAAATGTGCGTAATTTGAAGATAATTGTACTCTTAGTTAAAATTGTATAAACGTTATAAATATTCAAAATTTTGACCCTTTGTGGAGGTTGTCCGATATATACCATCTTTACACCAGGTCTTGCATAAGTAGAAGTATTGGGATGTTTTACGAGGTTCATGGTTATTCTAAATTTTGACCCTTTGTGAGGCAGATACCAGAAGGAGTGGACCGATGTATCCAGACCTTGGGTTAATAAAATTATTGGGTTATGTGAAATTTGAAGACAATCGGACTCTCACATCAAATTTTATAAGATTTGTAATTATTCAAAAATTTGACCATTTGTGGGGGAGGTACTTGGTAATGTGGACCGATATTGTCCATTTTCGCACCTGACCTAGCACTGACGCAAATATTAGGATTTGCAAAACGGATTATCCTTTTTCTTTCTGTGCAGAAAATATATTTTTTGAAAATTTCGACCCTTTATGGGGGAGGTACCAGAAGGAGCGGTCCTTTATATTCCATCTTAACACCAGACGTTGCGTTGATAAAAATATTGCGATGTGTGACATTCGAAGACAATTGGACTCTTACATCACATTTTATAGGAAATCTAGAGCAAAATATTGGAGGACCCACAAAAGGTTTGTCCTGGGAATCCAAAACCCTTTGGGGATTTTGATCTACTACTCGAATACTATCCTCTTAGAATTTCCTAACCCTCAGATTGGATGTTGCACAAATGTCATTACTCGCTATTGTTTGTAGTCCCCCGTATGACGGTACCTGCGATTTAAGTATCTTGAAGGTTTCGGAGGCTGGGTTGAATTTGGGATTTCATTTATTAATTGCCGCCCATTCTTTATTGGGTTCAATATGTTATGGTCGCCAATTAAGAATTATAGGTTGTGTGTTAGTTTTAAAAACACCAGTTTATTGTAAAATGATCAGATAATATAGAAATAACAGACTCATCATTGAAACAACTAAACGACAACTTATATTGGAACTATATCTGCGCTTTTCCAATACAAAACTGAAACTAATATTCAAAGTGCAAAATATCCGTCACCATGAATATTATGGGTGAGTAAAATTGCGAAACCTTTCTATCATAGAATTGATATAAAAGTCAACGCCTGATTATATTTAATATAGGGTGTGTAGTGGGTATGTAACAAGTCTCCCCTTAATAAGTTATTATCACGGCCGTGCCGAAGCTGACCGCATTTCACATAAAGTAGAATCAGAACCTGAAACTTAGTACTACTTTGTACCACTTTTCGATATCAAAAGGGAAAAACTGGTTATCGCAGTTAAAATGTTCGGTTATTGCTCTGTTGCAGAACCTACAAGAATCTAAAATTAGGTGTGTCTGGTTACCCTAAAATTTGCAACAATTGTTACAAATTGTTACTGGAAGTCGTCTGTTAACCCAAAAGTTCTGCAAAAGAGAGCGGTTGGAGAGAGAAATTTTGACAGTTCTTTCAGTGAGAGTTTGCAAATTCTTGCTGGAAAAATTTCTTCTTGCAATCACTTGCAACTCTTCTTCTTCTCATTCATCGACATTCAATCAGATGTTTTCTATTGTTTGTTTATTTATTTTTGTGCTTTCAATTTGAAAATTTTTTTTTTGGAATTAGCAAGACTAATAGTTTTTGGAGAAAAACTTTACAAAATGTGAAAAACGTAAATGATAATATGTAATAAGAAAATAAAAGACTATTTCCAACATTTTTATTTAAAAAACTTGTAAAATTAGTATTGCTTCCTTTGTTTTAATTCTCCTTATGGGGGACAAATTGGTTTGTTTTGATTTGATCAGCTGATTAGTTGCAAGCTTCTGCAGGAATACCGTCTGTTTACTTTTCGCATTTTCCTTGCAAAAGAGAATAAAACTACCTTACTCTCTCAGAAAGAAGTTACTGGACAATTCCTGCAGGAAAAGTAACCAGACACACCTATTATTGCGCCGTTAACCGATTTTCCTTTATGATATCGGAAAAAAAAATCTAGTAGACTCTTGTAGAGCAATAATTATTATATAACATACTAATTGACACACAATTAATACATAGTAATTATTGGCCTCTAAACATTTATGTATATTTTTAGATGCGCTTAAAAGAGTCCAGAGAGAAGAAGGCTAACTCATCCAAAATGAAAACATCAAGGACCCACATTTCGCTACAAATGGCAAAGGAGATACTTCACAAAATTTGCCTTACGGATATCTCGAAATCGAAAAGCTGTGAAAATCTACACGTTTTGTAAAGCATGACTCCAATATGGCAAAACTGGCTCTAGTATTACGTGTGGGTAATTGAAAGATCTAGCACACAAAGCAAATGCGATTTTAATATATCAAAAAGGAGAGAACAAACCATATGTGATTTACAAACCAGCTTTAAAAATGTCACAACAGAATGAAATGCCCGTATCGGATATATGCCGAGAACATTACAGTTTACATTCAACGTACTCGGTCGACACTTTTCACGACAAAAGTTAAACCCATGTGTTTATATGAGTATTACCAAAATTTGGGCAATACGGCAGTACAGAACATTCTACTGCAATGAGGAAGTTTAAGTTTTCACGTACAGTTTTTGGTAAAACTGTAGAAACTAAACTTTTTCAAACAAAAATACAAATCATATACCTAAATTTAAAGAACTGTTATTTCAATGTCAATTTATATACACTTTCCATTCCAACATACGTACTTACATATAAGACATATTTGAAATATGCCCCTAAAGACAACAATTTATGTATTGACTTTTAAAGGAATACTATTTATTCTGAACGACTATCATAAATTTCTTCCATAATCATATCGGAATGACTGTTTAATGTTACTGTGTTAAAGAAATATTTGTATTATGTATATCAAATCGATGAATTTATCACAAATAATTTGATTTAAAATGCATATTTTTTTATTTGACAAAACACTTAATTATTATATATATATAGAAATGATTTTGAATTCCAAAATTGTCAAATATTGAAGTATTGAATATTGTTATAATATTTCCATATTGGCACTACTAACCGATAAACTTAGGAAGTTACTAAAACATTAGGTATGTTTCAATTTTTTTTTTTTTAAATTGTAAAACCTGTAGATTCTTTCAGGTTCTGGAACAGAGCAAGTATTATATATATATATATAAATTTCATATCGCTCTCAAAACATAAATGCATACCTTCGATTCATACCAGATCGATCAAATTTATATCTCATACCTCATAATACGTGTATAGTTTTCTTGCAACAAAATTTACTCTTGGAAGCGCACTATCGTTATTACATGATTGCCAAATGATAACCGATGGCTATCATAAATCATATTATATTTTTTTTTCTAACCTTAGCATCATATTTTTATATTGAAAATGAGAAAGTTTCTTTTGTCTACAACAAATACATTAACATTAAGCCGACATGCACACCTTTCGCCAACGTCCGTTGTTAGAATTGAAAAATATGTTTTCTACTGACCACACTGATGTCAGCAAGACAATGAATTGGTGGCATCTCGTACCAGGATAGTATTAAAATCAATGGTGACTCGCCTGAAAAGGACAAATGTCAATTCACTGCACACATGATTCAATTCATATTATGCCATCAAAAATGTTACTGAAAGTCAATGCGACGATGCCAGGCTGTTAAAATGTATGTTAAAATGTTCGAATGTAATATATATAAACGTTCATGTTGGAGCTTGTGCAGTTGCTTGGCAAACGCTCCGCTCGGAGACCAGCTTGTCCCATGTGATTAGTGTTAAAATAAAAAAAAAGAAATGAAGAGAGAGAGATAAAGATTATGTTAGAAAGGAAGATCACCGGCCAAATTATTTTGGAAGCATTTTGTCAGTTATGCTAAAATTGTCCAAATCAATGTTTATGTATTATTTGAAAGAAGTGACACAAGGATGGCTTCACAGAGCTCTCAATCTCTAGAATAGTTGACTAGGAGCCACTTCTTGCCAATTCATCTGCAGCTTCATTGTCAGAGATGTTCCTGTGACCAGGAATACATAGGAATTGGCCTGAAATATATATAAACGTTTAACTTCGATTTTAAACGTAAAAAAGGAATATTTCAAATACATTTTAAAGCCACTACGACAATTAGTTCGGAAAATACAGTACATATTTTCACAACAAAATCGATCAATTGGCAAATTAATTCTACTGGATTTGAATAAAAAAAACCCACCCCGAAGCTCGAGTTTCGTAATAATTTCAAGGTCTATGTCTAATTATGTCCAATTATTTTGCATGTGTGCGTGTATTCAGTTCATTTACTATTATTTTTTTTTTTTTTTTTTGGAAATAGCCTAACGGGCGGACATCTCTAAGGATATTATACGGATTGGGAGCAATACAAAGAGAATACAGGAAATATATTGAATCTTCAATCAATTACTTATTTCTAAACATATTGAAATTGGCTAATATACAGCCTGTCATAAATGTAATGTATGTATGTATTCACCCAACTATCCACTCAGATTTATCAACCAGAACAATGTGAATCTTTATTTATGTCGAACAATCCTTCAATCTTTATATGTGTAGCATAAAGCTTTGGCGCCCTTATTCTGTCAAAATATACACATATTTGGCGCAAAGATATAAAGCCACAAAAGATCGATTAACACGTCTTTTGAGCGTAAACGCATAGGGGGATTTAACATTTAAAACTTTTTGATATTACAATCATAAAATCCGAGGACGATGAAAAGTATTACCAAAAATGATCTCCCGGTACACTAGCGCTAAAAAGGCTTGAATGGCCGCACTCCTGTTTAGAGATTGGTTAGAGATGATTTTGATAATCGAGAATGCATCAGTACATCTAATTGTCTCAGAAGGCATTTGTAAAATTTGTTTTTATGTCGTCTAACACAACCCACCTATGGACCAGAGAGTAATTTCCCACTTTATATTGCACTATTTAAGACAAATTTTTCAGTAATTTCAGGATTCAACTGATTAAAATGATAAACTCTTTATGAAAGACTCCTGGAAAAACTATAACATTTTTTATCAAAAATATATTTATCTATTTATTTATTTTTTTTTTTTTTTGAAAATTCTCCCCATTTGTTGATTTTAATGTATTTAAATGGAAAAAGGCGAATCGAGTTGCGTCGCTGTTTCCACCGCTTTCGCGTCGCAAGTTAGGATCATTTTCCACAACAGGGAATGTCAGCCTTACTGTGTGACCTCGTAATGCGCATATACGCCACGATATTTATGCACTTTCAAATGTCTATTCTGACTAAACCGTATTTTAACTGATGTTGGTAATGCGTAATATAAATTCACCCATAAAAGGAATAAAATAAAATTCAGGGTTTTTAGATATAGAGCATGAATACCAAAAGGTTGATCGATTTAATGTCAATCTTAAAAAACAACAACAAGCTTACCTGCGCAATTTGGTTTAATACTCATTTGACCTTTTTATTTCCAATACGTTTTGGTAGTAGGATGTATACTCATTTACGATACATGACAATGCGATCGTCATCCAAGAATAATAGGTTCCAGAGAAAACGTAATGTGTCTTCTAACTAAAATCTAACCAATGAATACGCTTATATTAAATCTGCAAATTCTTTACATTTCATAAAGATAATTCTTTATAGTTAAATTAGTTTTAGAGCTATTTAATCAAATAAAATAAATATAATATGAAATATTGTTAAGAAAGTCTAAAAATATGTATAATCAGAACTTCTTCAATATTCTCATACATGTGTGTATCTATATGATCAAAATTTATAGAAAAATTAAAAAACTGAAAAAATTCATGTTGGTTAACAACCTGTAGTGATAAGAATCGAAAAATGAGGAAAAAGTTATATTCGCCTCATTCCTTTCCTTCATTCATTCATTCCCATTTAACTCACTTTTCTTTTCTGTTAACTTTCCTCTTCTGTTTACGGAAATATGCATATTATAAGGGTATAGAGACTCTGATATTAGACTCCTATAACTTAAAAATAACAAATGCACGAAGTTATTTGGTTATTTGACCTATTTTCCAATTACATTAATTTAAAAGAAAGTCGCCAAAAATGAATGGAACGTCAAGGTGTTTTCACAATATACAGTTTTTAATATGATTACAATTTTATTTTACCCCAAAACTCAACCTCAAAAATATACATTTTTAGTTGAACAAAATTTGAAAATCTCCAAAATAATTTTCTTAATTACACCTTCAGCCAAAGCCATAAAATGCTAATAACTAGACAAAATGCATTTTGAACAAATGGCTTGTGTCTACAATAAATAGAGTAACAGCTCATGGCAGAGACATGTTAACATAAAAACCACAATTAGAGAAACAAAATAAAAACCAATAAAAGTTTGAAAAATCCAGAATATTACTTTCAAAATTCTATTCCATAGACCTTTCCAAAAATTGCATATTGCCTTAGCGGTTTAAATCAGTTAACATTGGTAACTGTGTTGTTATGATAACAAAGGGGGTATTTTCAAAGGGGGTATCTTTATACTTTTATGTCTTTGTCACAGCCTTACGGAGGGTATTATCATTTCATACGGCCTGGCCACACAGTGTATTATTTGATACGGCAAAAGTACCTAATCGAAATAACGGTTTTAAACTCTGGGTCTCTTTGGAACAAATCCGTTTGGGGACATTTGCAAATCCCAATATTTGTGTCAATGGGCAAAAATGTTGAATTGGCATGAAGCTCGTAACCGTTTCCTTTCAAACTCAGCACATCTCAATATTTCTCTCAACAGAAAACCTGATGTGAATATGGTAGATATCGGCCAACTTCTTTTAGTACCTACCCTCAAAGGCTCAAAATTTTGAGTAACCAAAACGATCATAAAAAGGGAATTTAGCATCAAATTCTCTTTGAATATTTTTATTAACACAAATCTGTTGTGAAGATAGGGGATGTAGGTCCGCACCTTCTGGTACCTCCCCACATCGGGTCAACGTTTAGAATTGCCATAAAAGTCGTAAAACACGAAATGACGAAACTCGTCACACCCTAATATATTTATCAACACAAGGTCTGATGCTAAGATTCAATATTTTATATTACCAAAATCCAATATTTTTATCAGCATTAGATGAAGTGGAATGCTTCGGCGTTCATAGGCCCGCGTTTTTTTATATCGTAACTTCCTCAGTTATTAACTGGCTTTTCCGTAAAAGAACAAAGACCTGGGTTTGACTCGAGGCCGAAAAATATACATTCTCGCCATGGCTTTACTCTAGTTTATTTGCAGCATTTTGGAAAGGTTATACTATCAACTATAGTTTGGCATTAATTTTTGTGGGAGTAGTTTCAAGTCTAACCCAGGTCTTGGTCCCAGAATTTTGGGTCAAATATCCCCCCAAAAAAATTATTTCCCAGTATCAGGGTACAAGTATCTACCTTTGGAAAAAATTTCAATAAATCCAAGAGTTTTTACTAAAAGAGTTGTTTCCTCACCATTAGCTAAAATGAGAAAATGGATATAATAGAGCGATTTTTTTCAAAACTTCTTAAATCTCAATATTTCCTCCAACCATAGAACCAATGTACCTCCCGCACAAAGAGTCGAAAGTAAAAACATCATCGCAATATTTTTGTCTATATTAGAGAAATTCTGAAAATTGAATTCTAGGAGCTAACATTGAAAATATTAACCCACTGCTTCTCGTAACTCCCCTGAAGGTACAACATTGTGAGTGAATGAGAATATATTAAAATAAACGGACATAAGTAAGTGTGTACATCTGTCGACAAATGAACTGATACGATTAACTTATTTTCAAATAATTTAAAAATTAAAGACATGAAATTGTCGCGAATCTAAATTGCCACAATTTGTTGATATATCAAGTTTCCTTAAAGTTACCCTCTACTATAATAAT